CAAGTTCTGCCAGGTTGCCAGGTTACATGAGTGAGCTGAATGGAGTTAGAACACAGTGTAAGTTCCCTCCTGCTCAGTCATGCCCCTCTCATGCCCCTTTTGGGGGACTTAACACTAGCCTTACAGCATATCTCTAGCTGAACAGGGAACTTACACTAGCATAGTCCTGATTGAACCAGAGATCTACTAGATCCTAACTTTCTCATGCTGGTAGATCTTGAGTTTGAATTATCCCCTTGGTTTTCAGATAGCTATGGTCAGCAGCTAGCTTTTTTGGAGGGCCTCTTTGGGGAGGGGTGATTGACCTTCCTCTCCTGAGCTGTTAGGAAAGCTTGTTGCCCAGCAGTGGGTCTGTGTGCCCTGAGTTTTCCTCCTCCTCCTCCTGTGTATTCGTGGAGGCGAAGGAGGAGCACAACCAGGAAAGTCATGCTGCGCCATTCCAGCAACCTTGACACATACGTGTGGTAACCATAGCGGGGAGGTGGCAGGGACACCTCACTGTCAGGAGCAAAAGAAAAGAATAGAAAAGACCCTACCTCATCTGAGTCCAGCTTCCATTTGTGGCTGAGCAGTGATTTAAGCCTCATGCAGCTGCAGAACAAATGTAGTAAAATTTATTTACATTGGCCCTTGGCCATAACAAAAGCGGAGTTAAAAAAGAAAGAAAAGAAATCACCCCTTTGCATTCCTGAAATCACAGCCCTTGAAGCATTTGCATAAAGCAAAACTGATAGAAGAGTGCAAGTACAGTTTGGTGATGATAAATTGAAATTGCATCAGCAACAACAACAGTTAGTGGTGGTAGTAGTTGTAGTTTAAAAAGCATTCACTAATCACTAAGCCTTTTGAACTCTAGGAGTACTTGATTTGATTTTACTGGCATCAAAGACTAAGCACACAAATCCTTTTTGTTTAAAGCTATCTTCTTCCCACACACCCCACTCCCCAAGACATTAGAACTGCATGAGGGGGAAGGTAGGTGCATGGTTTGCATTCCCATCATTTGGCTCCATGACTCCTTCCCTCACCACCACTCGCATGAATTCAAGGTGTAATTTCTTCAGAGGCGAGCCTGCTTTCCTCTTGCAGGCTCCCCATGGTTGTTGAGAGTTCTAAATTGTGTAAGGAATACAGCATGCTCTCCCAGCATGGACGCTTTCTCCATAGCTCTGCCCCACCACACCAGCTGTGACTGGTCACAGGTAGCTGAAAATTCATCCCCTTGGTGACAGTTGGTTCAGGTTGCTTCCCTCTAGGTTATGTCAACAGAAATGTGACTTCCACAAAGAGGCTGTGTACATGCCATGCATTTAAAGCACATCCCCAACCAACCTGGGAACTGTTGTTCGTTAAGGGTGCTAGGAACTATAGCATGTAGTTCCTGGGATTCTTTGGGGAGGGGATGGATGTGCTTACAATTTATGGGGTTGCATGCGGCTAAAGTAACATTCCTGAAGAGAGATGAGAGAAACTCTGGCTTCCCTTGCACATGAGAGAATGTTACGTGTAGTATTTGTCTGTCTATTTATAGAATGTCTGAGTTGCATTTTTAAGATTAGGCAATCACTCATAGTGACATACTTTTTTTAAAAAAAGAGGGTTAAATTAGAACATTAAAACCACAATAGAAAGCAGAAGGCTATGCAGATAATTTCAAGAAGGAGCCAATGGATGCCAGATAGAATAAACATGTTTTTTTTTCTGGCAGTGAAGTAGGAGAGCCAATCAAACTTCCATTGGCAGTGAGTTCCAAAGGGTAGCTGCCATAATAGTAAAATCAAAGACCTCCTTTGTGTTCTCTTGCTCCTATTATAAGAAAAGGTGGAAAAAGTAAGCAGGGCCCTATTAAATGCTTTCAAACTAAGCACTCTCTATGAGCAAGCTCTACGTTTATTTGGGTCTGTCCTGTATTTGGAGCTGTGAAATGCAAGCAATAGAACTGATCCAGCAATAGTGAAGTCCTAGGCAGGGGTGGTGCATCCCATTTCGCTTCTTGAGGAAAATCAGAAAGTGCCACCCTGCTCTGCCATCCCCCTCCGAAGCATCCTTTGCTGGTGGTATTAAGTGGCGGTGGTCAGTTCTGTTAAGATTTCAGAAGATTTTCGTGAGATCTTGATGAAAATTGGAAGTGGGTGGGTGGGGCACTCATGGGGGCAACAGTTTGGGGGCTTCTGCCACCCAAGATGGCTGCTTCACCCCACTTCATGGGCAAGCCAGTGGCACCTCAATGCCCAACAAATTTATTGTGGTGTGAGCTTTGGGACCCCTCCTGAGGTGTTGTTTATTGAGCATTCTTCCTGATTTGCTTGCAGAAAGCTTACACAAAAGTTAGATTGTATTTGCTCTTTGTTGTGCATTTGTTCTGATTTGTTTGTGGGATGGTTATGATGATGATGAGTTTTGAAGGCAACAGAGCTCTCAAGTTCACTTTTAACTGCACAAAGTTCTGGCGTGTGCTTGAACTGCACAATCAAAGTAGTGATTGTGCAGAGGCATGCTGTGTCAACAACATTCTGCTTCATCAAACTCGTGTTGTGGGGTGTTGTGTACAAGAGCACGTGCTGCAATCCATTTGTTTGGCTCTACGTTACTATAGAACTCATTGTTTCTTTGGCAGCACGAGACTAGCATCGTTATCCTCCTTGAATTCTTAATAAATACATGTAATCATTCACAGTGCTCCAACTTCCAATTCAACAGTGTTCTTGAAGTCTTTAATGTTGCATCCATCAGTTATTCCATTGCCTTGCGTGTCACAAGTTGGGAGGTTTGAACAGGTGCTCAGCCTGCGCGTGGGCTGCTGCCAGAAAGCTCTTAGTGGCAATGGCAATCCATGCAAAGGGAGATAAGTTCAAACTTGCTATTGGAAATCCTTGTTTGTGTTGGTGCTCCACACTTGGGGAGTGATACTGAAGTCGACTTCTACCACCTCTTTCATTTCTTACAAGCTCATGTCGTTCTGGAGCGTGGTATGGAATGAAAAGGGGTTTAACACCAGCTACCTGGTGCTGCTTGATATGTAGCCACTTCAGCCAGCTAATCTCACAATGGTCCACTAGGGGCCCATCATTTTGTTTCGGGACCCCCTCAGGTGCAGAGTCTCTAAATGTTGCATGTGATCAGACAACAAAATGGGAGAAAGTGGTTCAACTATTGCTCTCCCAAATGCAAATCATGAGCAGCCGCAAGGGTTTTTCAGTGTCAGCCAAAGGCAGATGGCCCCATTGAATGGATTGGAGACGTTACATGGTTGATTGAAGTGGAGCAAATTGCTTAACAAGATATCATTTTTCATAAGTTATTAGTGAAACATTCAAAAAGCAACTAGGACAACCCCCCCCCCCAATTGCCTGTATTTTGCAGCAAAAACTTTAACTTAGCACTTTTTGTTATTTGCTTAAATTAGGGTAGATTATATTAGCACCTCCCCCTGCACAGACATACAATTTCATGCTATACTCAGGTATATATATTTTCAAATCAGTCAAGTTCATTCCAGCCCGCCTTACAGAGAGGTTCTTACTTAGCATTCATCTCAATACCCATGTACAGTGTAGCTGTTAATCTCCCATGTACAAAAGAGTTTGGGGGGGGGGAAGAGGTTGAGTAGGAATGTACCGTAGGTATATTTTTACCTGTCTTCTCAGAGTTAACTCTTATCTGTTTCTTGTATAGAGAGGTGGGAGAACAGACATATAATTTAGCAACTATATATTAAATGTCCAAGCCTGTAAAGATCTATGCATTTACAACTTTGTACACTTGATAATCAACAGAAAAACCTCATCCCTGCTGTTCTGTTTTTCAAGGTCACTGCCAAAACAACATGCCGTGTGTGGCACACAGTGTAATTTGTATAGGAGGCATGGGAGCAGATGGAGCCATAATTCAGTAAGCCAAGCCCTATGCAACCAACTAATATCAAACTATTTTTTTTTCCCGTGGCTTGCCTTCATACATTTGACTTTCAATTTCCATAAATACCAGCCTTTCTGCAAGCAGGAAAGAAAATAGTTAGGGCCCCAGTTCTGAACTCACTTATCGCAAGCCAAGGGAACTCTACTGAGGGAACTCTTCAGCAATGAAATAAACATTGTTCCTGCATATTTATCTTTGTGTCATTTAGATCAGAAGAGTGCACTTCGAGCTCATTTTCGTTCTCCCCCCCCCTCCACCAAGGTAAAATGCAGACACCACAATTTCTGAGCAGGCAGTGGAAGGAAACCGTTGTGAATCACCTGCCTGGTCACTTGTACTTAAAATTACTTCAAACAAAAACTAGTGTGTGTGGTAAAACGGTTTCTGGTCTGTACTACTAAAGACTGCAGACAGGTGAAATTATTGAATGCTCTGTTCTCCTCCAAATAATAAAAACACTTCTCTAGAGAAAATTAAAATCATATCAGTTAGCACGGTTCTACGCTATCATCTTTGCATGCAAGTTTTATGGTGCAGGATTTGTTTGTTTTTTAAAAAATGTGGGAGCTTTCAAACTTCATTCATTCATTCATTTAATGAATGCACCACATTTCATATGAGGATCACAAGGTGGTTTACAGTATAAAAACACAAAAATGCATAACATAATATCAAATGAAATAATACTCCCGCAACCTAGTTTAAAAGGCCATAGGCTGTTTAATTAGCCAGTAGCCTGCGTGAATAGAAGGTTTTTGCCTGCCGCTAGGATATGCAATGAAGGCACTAGGCAAGTTTCCCCAAGAAGAGCATTTCACAAATGAGGAACCCACAAACATGCAGCCCCACCTATAGCCTGCTTTGCGGTAATTCAGTACAAGAACAGATTTAATGCAGAATCTGATACTTGTGACTTGGTATTAAGGAACTAGAGTGATGAGGGTCACTAGACAGACCCTGAAGGTTGATTGAAAAGTCACCATTTGCTAGGACTGGATGAATCATAGAATTGCAGGGTTGGAAGGGATCAGGAGGGATCAGGAGGGTCATCTAGTCCAACCCCCTGCAATGCAGGAATGTTTTGCCCAACCTGGGGCTCGAACCCATGATCCTGACATTGAGTCTCACGCTCTATCCCGACTAAGCTATCCCAGGTCCATGCAACATTTCACATGTATTCATGTGTCCATTCATTCCTGTTTCCACATTAATCTGTTTTTTAGAAAATCAAAATCATATTTAAATAACTATTTCATGTGCATTCTATTCTAAACTAACTTTGTGCTAAAATATTAATCTTAATGCATTTTGGGTACATCTAAACTGTCCAATTGCATTCCAAGCTGCACATTAGTTCTGGTGGTATGGATCAGGTCTGCTCACAGAGATATAATTCCTCAAGTACCGCTATGCACTGTGTCATTGGATGCCCAGTCATCTGTATACATCTGTCGGATTTAAAAGGTCAGAACACAAACAAGAGTTGTGCAAGTGGGCCTCTCCATAGGTTTTTGTAGTTTGATTTTAATAACTATATGTGTGTGTGTATGTGTGTGTGTGTGTGTGTGTGTTCCTGTTGTTCCTTATCTTCCAACATATACATTTTTTGTTCCAGGAAATGTCAGGAATGCCTTCTGGTTGCTTTTAAATAAACATGAAAGACTCCCTTGCAAGACACAGTATTTTAAATAATTACAAAGGAGGAAGTGTGCTTGGATTATAACAGTTTAAGAGTTTTGAAAGGTCAAGAATCTCATGCTGTAATTAACATGCATTATCTTTATCATTGAACCCAAAGTCTTCTGCTATCGCGTACCTCCATTAGGCTCGGGCAGAATTTTAATATGTCTACAGCATAATCTGCTCCTATACACTTAACACTAAGCTGCGCTGCTCAACTGGGATCTAACATTACTCGACACATGTTACTGTTGTCATTTCATTTGTCACTAAAACCTTGTTTACTTGCTTCCTGTTATTAATTATTGGGAACAGGATCCTTTCAGGCTAGAGAAGTAGCTCTTTTAACTCCTGTCTAGACTTTTCAAGGGAAATATTGATGAGCCCTTTCATGTTTCTGCTAAACCAGAGATTGAGATAACAATGTGTTTTAGTGCAAACAATGTAAAGCCTCATTATTTCTTGCCAAAAAAATATATCACCGCAACTCCTACCCTCCTTATTAGTCACTGGAGCAATAATTTCTTACATAGTTGGATACTTCCTCAGTTTGTCAGACTGATTAATTAACGGCTCACAGCAGGAGCTCAGAACTGAACAACCTACAGAAATTGTAAAAGATCAGCATTACTAGTTCATAAAATATTGGAATAGATCCCCATGTAGAAAGGAAGGAACTGTGTTCTGAGCATTCTTTGCTTTCCTGTGACCATTCTAAAGTCACCCATGCTTTCCTAAAGATTCCTGGATGGTAGGTGAAGATAATTTGAGTAAAAAGAAAAAGGCAGATTTGCTCTAATGCCCCGAAGAGCTGTCCTTTCTGTGGAGAAGATATGGGAATCTAAGATTCCGAACAATATTTGTGAAAAAAGGTTACAGCAACTTTGTCCACTGCAGTCTGCAGATATAGCACGCATTTGTCTGAATTCAAAGAACTGTGTGAATACTTATCCTATAGCTTGCAGTTCGTTTAGTGGATTTTCTCCTAGATCCAGCCCACTCCCCTCCCCACTTTGACTATTACTGTCTGGCAGTTCTTTTTAAAAGCTTTTGACTCTCTCCAGCTATGAGAGTTCCCCTTTTCTAAGCCCCTCTAATAGTGCTGAGTGGACAAAAAATTACAGATGCGGGAAAAGCTGACAAATGACTGCACGGTCCCTCCTCCTCCCTGCCTTTCCAGTGCCTCGACAGTCAAAGCTTCTGCCAAAACATGCCTGAAAGCTAGCGAAGGAGACAAAGGCACAAAGATCCCATTTGCTCGAGGAAAATAGACTTCATGTGTAAAACACCAGCAAGAAGAATACAGAGCTGGCAAGATGTCCAAGGCTTCAGAGGCAAAATGCAGGGGAAAGCATTCTTAGGAAGATGAGAATTGTATATACTACGCTCAACAAAATAGCTGCAAAGAGGGACACTTTACAGGCATGATAGCTTCCATGAAGAAAGACTGAATAGAAAATTCTGAGTTTTATAGAGCACACTCTAACCTTTTACTTCAGGCTGTTCATGATCTTCGCCAAATAAATATTTTTCAAGCACTGCAACAAGGAAACTCAATATATGAATTATGCAGATAAAATAATTTTGCATATATTTCCAGAACTCAAATGATTCCTTTATAAAGCAGAGGTGGAGGCAGCAATCCTGTACACACAGTCTTAGGTAAATCACATTGATCTCAGTGAGATTTACTTCGAAGTAGACATGCTTAAGATTGCACTGTTAGGCTCTTAGAACTCGTGGTGGTTTCTGCAGTTAAGATGGCAAAGCAGGGCTGGAAAGGAAGATCACAGAGAACAGAGATGAGGCAGTGGGGACTGGGGGGGCGGGGAGAGAATGAAGATGTCGATGTCATAAAACACTTCCTGTATGATACTACAGATTTTCCATAATGGAATATCAAAAGATGAAGAGTGGTACTTGTTATACAAATAAGGCAAATCTGAGGATGGCCATAAATTTCATAAATATCTGGCCGAAAAGCCCTAGAGGTTTACCACATCTTCTTCCTTCCCAGTCCCCCTAGCCATAGCCCTTGCCCTTAGATAACCAGTTCTTCCTTTGCACCACTATTTCTACTTAGATGCCCACCAATTTTAGCTTAGTGTGGTTGTTGTTGTTTTTGGCATATAGTTCCCAGACTATATGCTTCATGAGACAGTAATCAGGGGCCTCCATGTGTTTTCCTACTCAGATGTTGTTGCTGCTCCAATCAGCATGGCGAGTTGTTAGGGTAGGGGGAGTTGCAGTCCTACAAAATTTGGGCAGCCACAGGTTTTCCATAGCTAGTTACAGGAGTCGTCTGTTTAAAGGATTTTGTCAGTGAGACTGACCTGCAAGTTCTTTTTAAAAGCTTTTGACCTACTGACTGTTAATCTACTTACTGCCACCAAGACGTGTATCACAACTAGTTGAAAGAAAGATGGCTGACCCTCCATTTTCAAAAAGGCACATCAAATTTTGAAATATTGCTATTTTATCAAATTTAACTAATTATTTATTTCACTATGGACAGCATAATGCATTTTGTAGGGGGAAAATGACTTTATTTGCAATGTTTTGCAAGAACTAGTTTCTAACGTATAAATATTTTTCTCCCTTTTGTTAATTTTCTCATTTTCCTTTCCGTAATATAAATCTGTATCTGTTTTTCTTATATTAACAACAACAGTGAAATCCGGGTAATTCTGCTTGAACAAAATATAAGAATTCCAAGTTTCAATTAAGACCCACAAAATTTATTGGGACTGGGGTGTTCATAAATTTCAAAATATTTGTATTTATTGTATGTCTTCCTCATCATGAGTCAAAGCAACTGCTGGTTTTTATTGTAAGATTACATTTGCCGGGTTGCTTCATATCAGAAATTTAAATGCACCTTTCATGACAAGAGGTTTTAGTTGCTCAGTTTTGAAGACTGTTGTTGGCACCCATCTGTCTTGAGAGACAATGGAAGAGTGCATCATTAGGGGTAAAGTCAAAACTGTTACAGTTATAGCACCTGCTGGGGCTGTAGAGACAAAACGGGAGAGACATGTTTTGTTACAGCTGGGGCAGATGAAGGAGTCTGGTTTGGCTGGTGCAGATGCACCATGGCGTTTCTTCTTTCTATGCTCCTCCCAGTAGACATCTCTCCTCTGGTCATTGCTGTGGATACACGACCTGACTGCCTGTCTGCAGGCACTGCGGTCGTATGCAAAGGATTCCTACATAGAAGGCTTAATGCTTTCAGCCTTCATGTCACATTTACAGACATCTTTTTAACACAGAGTTGGTCTGCCAACAAGCCTGGTGCCTGAGGCCAGCTCCCTGTAAAGGACATCTTTCGGGATCCTGCCCCCCCCCCCATGTACATGACCAAGCAAGTGTAGACATCGCTGAGACAGAAGTTCGAACATGCTGGGAATCTGGGCTTGGAAGAACACATCTTTGTTTCAGCCTCTGTCCTGTCATGTGATGCCCAAAATCTTCCTTACACAGTGTACATGGAAGGCATTGCGGCCTTGATGACTGTAACCATTATATATATAAATATGTATGGAATATGGAAATTCAGAAAAAAGCTGGAGTGCTACCCAGAAAAAGTTCCACTGGGCTTTCATGCTATGTTACCATGCTGCAGATTAAGGCCATGGTTCAAAACACACAGGGAAGTGTTCCACTGAAACCAATGTGATTTTAGAACTGTAGGTTTTGTATACAAGTCATATCACAAACTCAGATTTTGTTGCAGATTAAGAAAATCACATGCACACACACAAACACTGGTTTATAGGCAGTGTTCACATAGATGTATGTATGTATGTATAATCTTGTAAACTAATTAAGGTCATGCATTAACATTGTGAAGCCCAAGTTCCTATCTTGGATCATATCTTGATCCAACAGAATAGACTTGGTAAAAATGGCGTATTGAATAATGTTTGGTATGAACAGTTACTTTTTAAAAATAGCATAATTTTAAAAAGTCAATGGTGTAAGTGTGTTGAACATACTACTAGCTTTGGTTTTGAAGGGAGGCCCTTTTGTTAAGTATTTGCAAATTTGATTGACATCTGGAGTGAAGTTCTTTGAATCTCTGTATAGATTATGACATGGAATATTTTGCTCCTGATGTTCTAATGTCAAGTAATATTTATTTTAGTGCAATCCCATAAGTGTCCACTCTGAAGTAAGCCCCAGTGTATATGTTCTTATCCATACTGAGGCATTTTAGTTGCAGACTTAAAGGGTGGGATCAGTAGGAAAACGTCTATTTAATTTTTTTCAACGTGTGGCTCCAGTACAGCTAAAATTAACCACGAGAACAATCCGTTGAAACAGCATTATAACATTCAGTTTTTAGTTATAACTTCTGAACATCTTAAGCATAAAAGTGAAAATATAATGTGAAAATATAATGTGTAAAATGTTGCAGGTTGGTTATATTCACAGTTTTAAGTTGTGTTACTGAGTAGCTTAAATAAACATAGATTT